AGGTCAATTGTGCCATCGTTTGTACTATAATACATGGGCACTATATTTCACCATAACTCAATCTTCCATGGTACATTTACTATGGGCTTATCAGCGCTCACACGTCCATAGTAGTAGTCGGTCACTCGATCGTGAAATTAAATGAAAAGACGCAGACCTCACAGAAACGTCCACTTTCCGAACCTTTGCACTCGCAGAACGGCACCAAATACAGCTTGCCAGACGCAACTAAACTGTTTTGTGATTACAGAAGAAGGTGTTAACTCCTCATTTCTATTGTCAGGCAGCTGCAACATTTTCAAATCATCCTAGTTTTTTGTTAAAGTTTTTCGATCGCTTCGGCTTGCACACGCTTTTAAAGGCGAATCCTGCAATGGAAAGTTGGCTCCTTCGAATTGAAGAAGACAATGAAAAAGAGCAAAATGTAGTACCCGAGCAATGGGACCTCTTCTTTGCCCGTTGATTTGCGCATTAATGCGACTCTCATCGATGTTGCCCTCTTCAACGCTAACGCTCTATCTGCTAAACGGCTACAGATTCACGGGGGACGTCAGAGGGGGGCGTACCGCGCCTAAAGTGCGGCAATTGGCCACAGGGAATGCCATTGCGTCGGTCCGCACCCTTAGGACATCCACTAGTTCCACTAGGTAAGTTTCCCCTTCTTCGACCTTCGCCTTTATGGTGAAATCCTCCTTTAAACTTTGTCAACATTATTATCTGAGGCACATTTGCCATGCATGGAGAGCTGGTCTATATTTCCTCAACAAAATCCCATTTAATGCTTATCAGGAGAAGATTAGACGTGGAATTCCATACCGTTGCGGTAGGGGAAGATTTACTCACTTCTTACTCACTTCTGTCTCCCTTAACGACAAGCGCGCCAGAAATTGTATAACCTACCATTTTGTTTTCTTACAACTTTTATGCTGCTCCAGAGAGTATAGAGGACAAATGCCTGGTCTGGTATGAACAATTTATGCGGTAATAAAGTTATTGTCAGAAAGAAGCAATACAGGTGCAACTTGCAGGCTACATCCGTGATTGACACTTACTAGATTACTTACTTACACTTACTAGCACGATAGCATCCTCTGAGACCAAAATACTTGCGCTGTGACACATCTCCGTAAGAATCAAAAAAGAAATGATGCTTAACCGACAATGCACGAGCACGACCCCCCTACAAGAATCAAATACGACCCGTTAGTACTTGTAGCAACTTGTGTAGGGTTGACCCTGGTTGCGGGTCGCACCCCTGTAATCTCTTTATCGAGCGCGGACGAGTGCTTGAACACACCTGCTGAACCTGTTAGGAAGATAGTGTAGGCTAGCGCATTCCAGTTTTCATGCATACAAGTAGCTTTCCCTACTCTCCTCCTCCCTGAACTGACTATAACCTCTCGGTTTACGACCCCATATTTTGTGCTAATGTTATCACCATCTCGCTTAGAGGGCGTCGATAGGCTGTCGCCGCCTCATCCCCCTCCCAACTGCCATTGCACCGTTGCTTCGATGCTTTCAGTGTTGAGTTCCCAAAAACGCACTGTGATGGATAATGAGACGCAAATGCGCGTCTCATTGGCCGCGTTTGCGAAACTGTTTGTGTTCCATGTGGCCAAAAAAGCCAAAACGCGCACTGTCGTCAACGTGTTAACACGGTGGCTTTCCTCAATCTTTTGCTGAATGCTCACTTACATTTTTCAACGCGTACATGACACTCGCCACGATGATAGCACCACCCTGTTGTAATCTCCTTGTCTCTGTCGCAACGAGATCCGTCTAGTTTAATACACGTGTCATATATCTCATTTAGATTCTTGAGGTCGTCAGCTTTCTTCCAAAGTCTAAACACTGTATGATCACAAATGCAGGGTCAATAAAATACAACCACACCAAAGGGTGTGTGGATAATAAAAGTTTCCATATTCAGCGTTCTTAGTTTACTAGTCGTCATCATGACTCATTAAGGGCATTGAGCAAAATGCTTGACAATACTCTGATACTCACTTACAGCACACACAGCACACGGGATTACAGCACACGGAATTAGTTTATGGCGGGCTTAACATATTACCTGTATCACCTGTCGTCCCGTTGATCGTCGATTTGCTCGAGCGGGCGCCAGCAACGTCTCCATTCGTCCCTGTCGCGTGCTAGAGTGGTCCAGTGGATCCTCCTCGCTCGAGGGACACGAAGTCGTTCATTCCTTTCGTTCAGAGCTTTCGTGAAGAAGTCTGACCATCGGGCCGGCGGTCGTCCAGGTGTTCGTTTGACGTCCCGAGGGATCCAGTCGGTAACCGCTCTGGTCCAACGGTCATCGCAAAATCGCATGACGTGTCCGGCCCACCTTATCTTCGATTCCTTGGCGAAAACGGCAGCGTCCCTGATCTTCGATCGTTGGCGTAGTTCCGAACTCCGGATTCCCCTCTGCACTTGCGTGTATAGGGTTACTCCTAGCATCGTCCTCTCGACAGCGCGTTGGATAACGCTGACCGCATGCTCGTCCTGCCTGCGCAGAGTCCAAGTCTCTGAGGCGTAGGTTAGGGCAGGAAGGACAGCGGAATCGAAGAGGTGGGCACGGAGCCGGATGTTCTTCGTCTTCTTCACTACTCCCTCGATGTTCTTGTACGCTCCCCAAGCCGCTCGTTTTCCTCCTGCTCAGCTCTGGAGCTAGATCGTTCATCATATTGATTTCCCGACCTAGGTACACGTAGCTGGAGCATTCGGTGATGTTCGTTCCGTTGAGCGTGAATGGGGCATCAGGAACCAATCCGTTTCTCATAAACATCGTCTTCGTTAGGTTCAGCTGTAGACCAACCTTACCACAGGCGCAGTCGAAATCAGCCAGCATTCGCTCCGCTTGCTCGATGTTCGGCGTTATAAGAACGATGTCGTCAGCAAAACGAAGGTGGTGTAGTTGCCGGCTTCACTTCCCATCCCAGCTGAGCATGACGTTTTCGAGAGCGGCACTGAAGAGTTCGGCAACACGGTCCTCGCTGGTTTTCCACGGAGTGGGTACCTTGCATTCCGACAGGTAGCGCGTGAAGAGTCGAGCCAGAGTTTTGATGATGACTGGCGGCGCATTCTTCAGATGTTCCGGTTTGACCCTGTCGAGACCGGGTGCTGTACGATTCTTCACCGACTTGATGGCGTGTCGGACTTCGGAAGAGAGAACTGAGGGGACGACGTATCCATCCTCTTGCAGTTGATAAGTAGGCAGATGGACATGGCTATCGAAGAGATCCGAGTAGAAGTCGTGGATGACTTTCTCCATTGCCCTTCGGGATGCAGTAACTGTTCCATCCGGACGTCGGAGGCAGGTCATCTTGGTCTTGTAGCTGGCAAAGCTTCGGCGGGCATTGCGGATGCTCCTCCCAGCCTCTGCTGCTTCAGCTAATACTGCTGCTCTTCGCTCCTTGAGATCTTCCTTTATCGCCTCTCTGCATAGCTTCGCAAGCTCGGACGTGAGTCGGTGATTGCCTGCAGCTCGTGCGGCTCCACGCTGGCGTATCAGTTCGAGAGTTTCCGGAGACAGACGTCCCTTGGTGACTTTCAAACTCTCTGCCTTCTTGCCACAATCGTGAAGATGTTCAACGAGCCGATAGATACTCCTCGTCGATGTTTTCGATGACGGAATCCTCCCATAAGCTGACAAGAGAAGTGAAGTGATCCCAGTTGATGACTGTCCTGGGGCTTCGCTTCCTGAACTTCGAGGCTCTCTCAACACGCATCGAAAAGTGGAACTTTGCGCGGAGGAGACGATGGTCCGATCCCGTGTAGAACTTCGGAACAACAGCGACGTCGGTCAGGCAAAACCTTCGATTGAAGATGATGTGGTCTATCTCGTTATGGAACTGTCCATCAGGTGACTCCCAAGTCCAACGAAGGTGAGGGGGCTTTTGGAACTGTGAGTTACCATGGATGGTGTTGGTCGACATGATAAACTCCGACAGTCTCTCACCCTGCTCATTCCATTCCATTCCGTGAGTACCGATGTGAAGTTCTTCAGCCGTTCTTCTTGGGCCAATCTTGGCGTTGAAGTCGCCGACGATGACCTTGAAGAAGGTATGATCTTCCTTGTAGAACTTCTCCAATTCCATATAAAATGCTTCGTGTTCCTCCTCGTCGTAGCTCGATGTTGGTGCGTAGGCGACGAAGATTGTCAAAGCAGGAGTTGAACCACATCTTCTCAATCTCAAACGTCCGATTCGGGTCGTAAGGCTTTCGTACGAATCGATGTTTATGGCCAAGTGCGTGTTGACGAGGACACCCACACCGCCAACGCCTCTGCTGTCGCATGTTCCAAGGAACAGTTCTTCTCCAGTATCGAAAACGGCGTGTAGCGGGCGGTGCCTTCTCGTCTCGGTCAGTCCGATGACGTCGTACTTGATCTTCCTGGCCTGCATCATCAGATCTTCGATGTGAGCTTCGGATGCAAGCGTTCGTGCGTTGAAAAGTCTTAGTCCTTCTTCGTTTAGGCAGCCTATCCGGGCCCTGAGATTCTAGCAGCCTCTCCCGAGCGGTCCTACCCAACGCTGCCGTATTGGGGGCTCCCTCAGGTTCAGGGGAATGAGGCCCATCCATATTGCTGTTTTCGGCATATTGAAGGCACACGAGTAGCTTGCCAGGTTCTGTCGTGCGGGCTAGGATAGACCTCCAGGTAGTTAGCCACGCTATCCTGGAGCGGAACAAGGGGCTTATTTCTTGGAGGCGGCCCCGAATCGCCTCCCATGTACTTCCCAGTCACTTGAATGCAAGCTTTTGGCTGTGCCGACATGCAGGATACCAACCGCACACACACAGAGCGCACCACACACGCAAGCATGCATGGATGCGCCTGAGTGGAGACAGCTGGTATGAATCAACACAGCACTACAGAAACAGGGAGTCCATCCCCTGAATCCACCTGCGTCTCAGGGCAAGTACATGGTGGCTTTTGGTCCGCGATTTACCCCCTATCCGCCACCTGGGGTCGCGCCACGTAGCCTCGCCACCAACCGGCTCGAGATCTTTCAGTGAGAGAGGACCCTCAGTGAAAGAGATCCGTGGGCTTAACATTAACATTAACATTAACACTGAGCTAAATTTCAAAGGGTATGGGCGTGAGGGAGCACTACTGATTCGCTATCCTACTTACTATAAAGCGCTTCGTCTGTCGTTCTGTCTGTCTCTGTCGTTCTGTATGTCTGTCACGAAATTCCCTAGCTCCTCGGGATCCGCCTGGAGGGACCGGGTCAAGTGTGGGATGGGTGGGCAAGGTCTCACGAAATACAAAACACACATCAGCTAAGCGGAGCCCCGCCCACAGAGGGCGTGGCGCGTGCGTCGAAATGAATTGTACCGAAGACCAAGATTTCGATTTCAGTGACAAAACGACCTCGAAACTGGGCCAAAAAGTGGGTAAAGGTGTGCATTGGTAAGTCACATCGAATTAGGGAGACCCACCCCCGGTGGGCGGGGCGTTCTCCAAAAAAGCAGTGCTTTATGAAAAATTTCATAACTCGGTTGGGAGAAAGCCTACAGAGCAGAAAACAAATTGGTGTAGGGGAGCAATGTCTAAGGTGTTTCCAGCATACATGACGTGGGCGGAGGCCCGCCCACAATGGGCGGGGCGCGCTCTGAAGTGTACAGCATTTTCTACAAGTCCTCATAATTCGGGCCGGGGAAGTCTTAAAGAGCCGGAAAAAGGTGGATAGAGGTGGGTGGAGGAGTGGAGGCCAGCTGTCATGGTGGGCGGGGCTTGACCAAAGTGGGCGGAGTTTGCGACGAAAATTCATAACTCGGCTCCAAGAAGTCCCGGAGGCCGGGAAAAAGGTGGATAGAGGTGGGTGGAGGAGTGGAGGTTAACTGTCATCGGTGGGCGGCGACGAAAATATAAAACTCGGCTCCAACAAGTCCCGGAGGCCGGGAAAAAGGGAGTAGAGGTCGGCGAAGGAAAGGAGGTCAACTGCTATTAGTGGGCGGAGCACGCACCTAAGTGGGCGGAGTTTGCCAAAAGTGTCGTAATTTGGTTCCAAGAGGTCCCAGAGACCGGTGAAAAAAGGGGTAGAGGTCGGCGAAAGGAAGGGGGCCAAATGCTATTGGTGGGCGGGCACGCACCGAAGTGGGCGGGGCTTGACCAAAGTGGGCGGAGTTTGCGACGAAAATTCATAACTCGGCTCCATGAAGCTCCGGAGGCTGGGGAAAAGGTGGATAGAGGTGGGTGGAGGAGTGGAGGTTAATTGTCATTGGTGGGCGGGGCATGCAGTAGGGGTCGTATGGCAGCGGATTGGAACTTTACGAGTTATTAGCTCCTATTTCCCCATACTTTCTTTTTTTTTTTCTTTCCCAAGTTTAAGATAACAACTTTGATTTGAGTAGCTGTCAAGATTGAAAGCCTGTTTAAAAAACGCACACCAAACCCGCCCCCAAAAAACATTTGTGTTGCCCTCAGGGATCTCGACCGAAAGAAGGTTGGCAGGTTCTGCTGGGTATGTGCCTTTTCTAACAAATAGCGCAGATGCCGCAAAGTTGATTGATCTCGGAAGGCTTTTTTAGACATCAGCGAGAGCCAGTTATGAAAATTTCTGGGCATCACTGAGTAAAGATGTTATTCAGGCATACTAATGCGAAGACGCTACACTTTTTCAGGTTCGCATGTGTCTTGGTCTGCACAATTGGGCCATTCACGGTTAAGAACAAGTATAAGTGACCAGTTGGCGCCGCACGCATTGCGCGCGCAACACAGATCTGCTGCGAACTTTGATGGTGCGACAAAAATTTTCATATTTGGCTTGATACACTACGAATATCTGAATCCTCAGCTAAATTCAATCCGCTCCATCATCGACGGCTTTCAACCTTTTTTTCTTCGTCAACCATTATCCTCTTTTTCTCGGTCTCCGGACTGCTTCCGGACAATAAATCTCGTGGCAAACTCCGCCTATTCGGTCTGCGCCCCGCCCACCAATAGCATTTGGCCCCCTTCCTTTCGCCGACCTCTACCCCTTTTTTTTCACCGGTCTCTGGGACCTCTTGGAACCAAATTACGACACTTTTGGCAAACTCCGCCCAATTATGTGCATGCTCCGCCCACTAATAGCAGTTGACTCCTTTCCTTTCGCCGGTCTCTACTCCCTTTCTCCCGGCCTCCGGGACTTTGTTGGAGCCGAGTTTTTATAGTTCGGGCCCCGCACACGATGCAGCTTAACATCCATCTTCCACCACCTCAATCCTTTTTCGGCTCCGGAGCTTAATAGGAGCCGGGTTATGAATTTACGTCCCAGCCTCCGCCCACTTCGGCCAAGCTCCGCCCACCGATGACAGCTGTCCTTCACTCCCCCCTCCATCCACCTTTTTCTCGGCCTCCGGGACTTATGGAGCCGAAGTTTTTATATTTTTCGTCGCAAACTCCGCCCACTTTGGTCAAGCCCCGCCCACCGATGACAGCTGGCCTCCACTCCTCCATACACCTCTATCCACCTTTTTCCGGCTCTTTAAGACTTCCCCGACCCGAATTATGAGGGCTTGTAGAAAATGCTGTACACTTCAGAGCGCGCCCCGCCCATTCTGGGCGGGCCTCCGCCCACGTCATGTATGCAGGAAACACCTTAGACATTGCTCCCTTACACCAAATTGTTTTCTGCTCTGTAGGCTTTCTCCCAACCGAGTTATGAAATTTTTCATAAAGCACTGCTTTTTTGGAGAACGCCCCGCCCACCGGGGGTGGGTTCCCCTGATTCGAAGTG